GAGGCTGGTACAATTATAACATTTAAAAAGCATCTGGATGGGTATTTGAATAGGAAGGATTGAGAGTGATGTGGGCCAAATGCTGGCAAATGGGACTAGATTAATTTAGGATACCTGGTTGGCATGGGCGAATTCGACCAAAGGGTCTATGACTCTATGAGCATCTTGCAGCAGGGATAATATAGGGGTAGGGCAGGTGCCAGCTCCAGTAGACTCAGCTGACCATTTCAAAGCTGAATATTTCTGGCATTTTCTCTTTTTATGACAGAAGATGGTTGATTGATATGTACAATTGAATTGGATGATAAATTGACAGGTCTGCTCAATTAAAATCATGTGCATTGTCAAGGAGTATGGAGGAGCTCAGTGTCAACTTGCCATATTGAGCAGAGCATATTTACAACATAGATATGGTTGCCAACTCCATTAGAACAGTAAGCTAAACACAAAGTCCTGCTACAAGCTGAATAGCTGCAATAAAAACAGAAAGTGCTGAAGAAACTCAGCAGGCAAGGCAACATCCGTGGAGACAGAAACAGATTTGATCTTTTGAGTTGAATATGGAGTTACAGATCTGCCCACAACTTCCGTATGCTTCAATGTTAGTTGGTCGCGACATAGTGTTAATGTCACTGGATTAGTAATGCTAATACCTTAGGGAGGAGGCTTCAGCTCCTATCATAGCAGCTAGTGAAAGTTGAATTCAATTAATCAATCTGGAATATGACAACTATCATTGATTGCTGTTGTAATCCCAACCAATTTATTAATGTTCCACATGGAAATAATGATACCTACTCCCCTTATCTTTTCTGGCTTACATTTGATTCTAGACAACACGTGAAAATAACTCTTTAGGTACAGGCTTAAAGAAAATTAATTAAAGAAGGGTAAAATCAAGAATGAAAATTGGTATTCCATTCTGAAGTAACAGAGCCTTAACAATAGAATTCCTATTATATTGATGGGGTGAATAACATATTCAAGGTTTTACTCGCAGCTAAGAATTTTTAATCATTTCATTCATTAAAAGATGAGAAACCAGATTAGGGAAAGGACACAAATCTGATCTTGTTTTGCCAAATTCAGCACAAAAACACTTCAGACACAGAAAAATATCAGTGTGAGTGACGGTACAGCAGCCATCTTTGATACAGTCAAAACAACAAAGTTAATTGAGAGCAGCCATTTTGAGAAAATTCTACCCATGGGCCAATGGAAATCCTTCAGTTATCTTCAAAAAATATATCATATCCATCTCTATAAAGGCACTGTATAGGTAAAGGAAAACCAAACTTGATATAGAAAATAGCATTTCAAACAGTAGAAACATTAACAGCTTTTAATTTTAGGAATATAACAACATTAGTAACAACAAAGATTCCAAAACAACTTTAATCAATTCAGTATACTACAAGACAACAAAAGAGTACAGTACAAGGATATCATAATCCTAACAATATTCTTTAACAGCAACAAAATAATCAACAACTTTAAGTGCCTATCAGAAATCAAACAAGCTAACGACAACTTGGGAGGGGCATTGGAAAAGGACTTCAGGATCCTGGAGTAAGCTTGCATTAATGTCGTGAAGCTGCACATCACTTATACAAATTGTACAATGTGGGAGGAGTTAGCTCTCTATACCAGACCAGACTACAGCATCGACTGAGGATATGAAGAGGATAGATTAGTCCTTGCTTAATATAACTAAAATCTGAGCTTGGTATATTTATGTTAACCATGTATTGCTGTATTTAATATTAAGAGATAATAAATTATTTTAATATTGAAACCTGAAGACTGTTCTTGACATTGCTTTCTCTTCAACTAATTTGTCTTGAACCTAAACTAATAGTGTAATATCATATAACAGAGTAAAAGAGATAGAAATCAGTGACTATCACCAATCCCCTACTTAGATAAACTTTCTCCCCCAAGATTGGATGTTAACTACGAGCTCTTATTGCTTAAATTTTTAACCTGTTTTAATTAATTTTTTTACAAAATTCTTTTCATTTTTTAAATCAATGATGATGTTCTCCTCAAAATAGAAAAATCACCACAGAATTCATTTGCTGATATGTCTGATAAACTTCCAAAGACTATCCAGATTACATCATCTTTCTGTTAAAATCAACAGTGAAAAAAAATGTAAAGGATGTGTCATGCAGCTGGGAAATACTCCTCTATAATATTTATAAGGCAATACGTATTATAAATTCAGACTTTACAAAGATCTTTACAAGTGGAGAGGTGCTGATGTCCAAGTGGTCTTCTTTATCTGGTGGTTGGAATAAAATCAGTTTGTTTCATGAACTTCCTTGAGGCCATACTATTTTCATGGCTGGTCTTTATTTTAATATTCACTGCTTTGCAGAAGAAAAACCTGTTGATTTGGCAAGTCATTGTCTGGTTGGATGGGATGTGGTGTGGTGGTGTATCTGATGTAGTCAAACCAGCCTTCATAGGGACCCTACGGTGTGGAAGCAGGCCATTCAGCGCATTGAGTCCACACTGACATTCTGATGATAATCCCAACCAGATCCACCCACCTTATCCCTACAAACCCTGCATTTCCCATGGTTAATCCACCTAACCTGCATATCTTTGGACTGTGGGAGGAAACAGGAGCAGACACAGGGAGAATGTCCAAATACCACACAGCCAGTCACCAAAGGCTGGAACCAAACCTGGGTTCTTGCTGCTGTGAGGCAGCCATGCTAACCACTGAGCCACCATGCCACCCATAGGGTCATAATCCTGGAATGGAGTGGGTTGTGGGATCAAAGAATCTGGCTGTGATCAGGAAGATTATTGCCATTCAAAGATCACTAAACAGGATTACCTTTAACATGTTCAAAGCAGCCCCCAGTGATCTCAACAAGATTTGCTCTGATTGCCCTGAAAGCCCTCCCTTCAGGATCCATGAAGGAAGCCAGAAGACTGCCTAATTGGAATCTAATCCCATTGAGGCCTCCAGAGATGGGGGCCAGTCCCCCACCCCAGCTTATGGCTGACCCATTGCAATAACCATTAAATTTCACCCATATAAACACCAACTGCACTATCCAGTGTTGTGCTGAGCCATACAAACCTTAGTCCCTCAGTTCTAATCATTGCATACATTGATTCTTCTGTTCTCAGTCTATACCGGAGCCAGGCTCGGGCGTGGGTTAAAAATGTCAGCTACGGTTTCTGATTGTTGATGGTTTGTTACTGATATATGCTGGATAAAGTGGGTACACCTGTCAGATGGGAGCAGAATCAGCTTGGCTGCCTTCCACGGTTGAATGTCCTACTGTCAATCAATTTGTAAATCCACATCAGCAGAATGTTGGGGTAGCACGGTAGCTCAGTAGTTAGCACTGTTGCCTCACAGCACCAGGGACCCTGGTTCAATTCCAGCCTTTGGTACTGTCTGTGTGGAATTTGCACTTTCTCCCTCTTTCTGCTGGGTGTTCCCATTTCCTCCTGCAGTCCAAAAAAAAATGTACAGGACAGGTGGACTGGCCATGCCAAAAAAAAAATTGCCCATAGTGTCCAGGGATATGCAGGCTATGTGGATTAGCCACAGGGAATGCAAGGTTTCAGAAATGGGATGGGTCTGGGTAGGATGTTCTTCAGAGGGTTGATGTACACTCAGTGGGGCAAATGGGCTGCTTCCTTGTTGTAGGGATCCTATATACAGCCAAATGAAAAAGGTATTGGTAAACTACTCACAATATTGCAACCACATTTTGGCATATCCCCAACTTCTTGAGATGAAAAAAGGCAGAAACAAGAGGGTAATTTTACTAAGAGATACACAAAATTGCAGGAATACATTTTAAAAGAAAGGATTAGTTTAAAATCTATTCCTTGCCTTTTGATTTGAAAGACACAATTATTACTAGCATTGAATGGTTGCTGATAGAGGGAGAAACTGGAATACAACTATATTTGGTTTTATTCAGCCTTATTAATAAATTCAATCTCATTTATTACTTTATTTTATACTTCATCAAGTGGGAACATTACTGAAATCTCCTTCCATAAAATAGAAAATTATCCAAGTGAAATGGATTTGATGAGGGAACCAATTTCCTACACCTCCTCCACTTTGGTGTAAATCTAATCTGCTTCACTTCCTAGAGGACAATTTAAATCATTGCCCTTTTGTGTTGAAAGAAATTAGATGCACAACAGCATTAAATTAATTTAAGTTTGCTTTGGCTGTTCATTATTCGATGGTTCATTGTTGTTGATCTTGCATTATTTTTCCCCCAGCAAGTTACCAGTTATATTTAACTTGTTGGCACTTCGTAATCTGGTTGCAGCAGGAGTTGTTATATGACAATGAAAAAATCTACAAAGTGCCAATGGAAACCTTAGTCGTGAGTGTCTTAATTAATCTTGAGACAGAGATGAGATCACAACCTGTGAAAACACTGATCAAACTGCATGACAATGTAACTGCAATAAGCCTTTGTGTACACCTTATTTTAATGAATGTTTTAAATGTGGAACTTGCTACACATGGGGTAACTAAGGCAGATAGCCTTAATGGGGCCAAGGGGCTGTTGGATATTCTAGATGGGTGCAGAACCCAGGGGAAATCACAATGTACAAAACCCTCCCCCATGAGCTCCATAGGACCTTGCTGCCATCAAACTAAACCAGAAATGTAATGAAAGGTCACAGATCATAGAATCCCTACAGTGTCAAAACAGGCCCTTCAGCCCAACCTGACCCTCAGAGTATCCCACCCAGACCCATTCTGCATAACCCACCTAATCTACACATCCCTGAACACTACAGGGCAATTTTTTAGCCTGGCCAAACCACCTAGCCTGCACATTTTTGGACTGTGGGAGGAAACCAGAGCACCTGGAGGAGCCCCATGCAGGCACGGGGAGAACATACAAACTCCATACAGGCAGGCACCCGAGGGTGGAATTGAACCTGGGTCCCTGGTGCTGAGAGGCAGCAGTGCTAACCACTGAGCCACAACACCACACTGAAATATAGAATGCTTCATAAATTGGTGTGTCATCCTTGCACAGGAGCCATACTAATCTTCTCTGTATTGTTCCAATTTTAGTATATGTGCTGTCAAAGCATGGTACCGCTCTCACCTATTTAAAGATCCTCTCCACCCTGCTTTTCAGGTGCCTGTGATCCCGGTGTGAGGCTCCCAAAAGCATGGGACCTGGATGGCTGCAGCTTGAAAATTACAACAGGGAGAACATAAGACAAAGATATGAAAATCAGATTAGCTAAAACAATTTGGGAGAAGTTTAATGTGGAATACAACTATTGGAATGAATTGCTAAAATTGAATGGATTACATCCATGTTAGAAACTCTGTTCAACATAATGCAAAATAGGATTGAGAGATTCAAGCATGAATTTAGACATAGATGATCATTTATTCGCTAATCATTGCTGATGACATATCAGATGGCTGTTGAGAGAAGCTTGAATAGTTTGTCAATTGAATTCTAATGCTAGCTTGCAATCTTGTACTTCTCAAGATCAATAATAAGCAGCAAAAAAAGGACTGAGAAAATTCTTTTTCTCTTTGCATGACTATCACTGAATCATGGAAGAGTTAGGAGGCCATTCAGTCCACTGTGCCTGCACTGGCTCTTTAAATAAGCATCACCAACTAGCGTTGATTGTCCTGGTTTTTCCCATACCCTTCCACATTATTTCTATCTGAATAATCATCCAATGCCCTCTTAAATGCCTCAATCAAATCTATATCCACCACTCTTCCAGGCATTAATTCCATACCCTCACTACTTGCTGCATGCAAAAGATTTTTTGTGTCAACACCCTTGTTTCTTCTGCACATGACTTTAAAACTATGCCCTCTTCTTCTTTTTCCTTTTACCAGCAAGAACAAGTTCTCCCTATCTACTCTATTCAGCCCACTCATGATTTTGAAAACCTCTATCACATTTACTTTCAGCCTTCTCCTGCCCAAGGGAAACAGCCCTAACCTCTCCAATCTTTCCTCAAAACTGAAGTTTCTCATCCCTTGAACCTTTCATTCAAATTACTGCTGCACTCTCTCTAATGCATTCATATCTTTTCTATAACATTGTGCTCACAACTGCACACAATATTCAGCTGAGGTCCTAAGTGTCTTATACATGTTTAACATTACCTCCTTGCTCTTGTACTCTGTACTCCTATTAACAAAGCCAAAGGCTATATTATCTATTCTCTCCACCTGTCCTGCCACCTTCAATGATCTGTGCACATTTACATTCAGGTCCCTCTGCTCCTGCACCTTCTTTAGAATTGTACCCTCTATCTTATGTTGTTTTCAATGTTCTTCTTACTAAAATGTATCACCTCACACTTCTCTGCATTGCAAGTGGGATTAGCTTGTGTGATACTGTGGTTTGGTTAGATTGCAGGGTGGATTGATTGGCTAGGACTCAATGCAAAGGGATTTTTAGGATTCACATTGCTATTGTTATAGCATCCATTTTCTCTTTAATTCACATCAATACACAATGTGTTTCAAATGGCTTTTATGAATAATATTGGTTTGACTTGAGAAATGACCAGAATTTCTGTTCAGAAGATAGAAGGCAAATGTGAGGTGAATTAGCCATTGATATAATTGGCAGGAATTTGGGTGTGTATTCCCATGCCTTGAGGGTTGGGGTTTACAGCTGAGTTAGCAAGTAAGTTAATTTTAGATGACTACATTATATTGTCAGCACATTACCTTTTGAAACCTTTTCCATATCCAGACATAAGAAAGTTCAATATAACTTAGTAATTGAAGAAAACTAAGAGCTATTGAATCATTCAGCAATACACACCAAAGTCACTTCATTGCTTTTTGAAAAAACTATCATATAGGACCCACTTCTAATACACCTATAATTTTATACCCCTGAGCACACACATTATTTACTTATGTTTTTTTTGTTGTATACAAATATATACACACATAAATATATGTAAGCAGTTTCTCATTATTGACTGCCTAATTACTAAAGACCAATAATTAAACAGGTCAACATCCATTTTAAATGTTGAGGCTTAAGCCTCACGTGAATATGTTAGATATTATCTGATGTACCTGGTTAAAACTTCACTTACATGCAAATGGGAGAGAAGGGCTGATAAGGAGCTTGGAACCTGCCTTTTATTATCATGGGTCTGTACACCATCAGCCCTATTCAGGTTCCAACTTCCTTTCCCAATCAGCTCTGCAGTTAACCAGGATAGGCAAAAGAAAGCACAAAAATCTTGTAAGATTTTTGCTAAGAGCTGGGAAGTTCTGTAGAAGATGGCTCATGCAGGCTGCAAAATATGATTTCAAAACCTCCAGCACCCCAAATAATAGGCCATAGCAGCACAGAGAGTCAAAAGGATGGAATGGACAAAGAGTGTTTATCAATAGCTTGTCTGTTTGTACTACTGGCAGCATTTTATTCAGTCTGACATATGAGCTGTAATGCAAATTTCCAGATCTGCATTATGTCACTTCAACTGCAAGAAAGACTAAACTTCTGCCCTGTTCAAACTTCAATTATTTAGTGTCAATATCAAAGTCTGCTCGTGAGGAGCACAAAAAGATGTCCAATAAGCTATAACGATAAGAAATGCTCACGTATAAATCCACAATCTGAATAAGGTGCTATTTAGATTGATACAATTCTGGTATGAGCTCAATACTGTGTCCACTTTAAAAACATCATAAAAGCAATAAACATGAGTAATGAAACTACCTTCGGTGATTTACATTAATATAATGGCTTTTGCATCTTCAGGATATCTCTTAAATTAATTCAATTAATGTGAGCACATTGTTGGCTAGATCAACATTTATTGCCCATCCTTAGCTGCATTTGGGAAGGTTGTGATAAACTACCTTTATGATCTGCAGCAGTCCTTGGGGATTATTTACACCACAGTGCTTTTAGGAAGGGAGTTTCAGGATTTTGACCCAGTAATGGCGAAGGGACGGCGATACAATCCCAAGTCTGGATGGTTTGTGGCTTGGAGGAAAATTGCAGATGGTTATACTCTCATTTATCTGCTGCATCTGTCCTTTCAGTTGGTAAAGGTTTGGAAGCTGTTACTGAAGGAGTCTTGGTGAAGGGAGTGAATATTTAAGTTGGCAGATGAGGTACCAATCAAACAGGCTGCTTTATTCTGGAATAGTTTCCTGTTTCTTCAGAGCAGTACCATCCAGGCATGTGAAGATTACTCCATTATACTCCTGACTTGTGTCTGATGAACAGACAGTGGGGAGACAGAAGGTGCGTTACTCACCACGGAATTCCCAGCTTCTGATTTACTCCTGCAGCAAGAGTATTTATACGGCTAGTCCATTTTTCTGGTGAATGGTAAACTTCAGGATACTGATATTGAGAGATTCAACAATGGTAATGCCAATGAGCATCAAAGAAAGGTTATTAGATTCTCTCTTGTTGGAAATGGTCATTGCTTGGGACTTGTATGGCATAAATTCCACTGATCAGTCCAAGCACAGATATTGCTCAGGTCTCGTTACATATGGTCAGGGATTACTTCAGGAGGAGTCATGAATGCTGCTGAACATTGTGAAATCATCAATAACATCCCCACTTCTGACATTATAATGGAAGGAAATTCATTGATGAAGTAGATCAGAATGGTTGGACCTGAGGAACTCCTGCAGAGAGTTGATTGCCTCCAACAACCATAACCATCTTCCTGTGTGTTAGGTGTGTTTCTAACCAGCAGAGAGATTTTCCATGATTCCCATTAACTATAGATTTGCTATAGCTCCTTGATATCATTATTGGCCAAAAGTTGCCTTGATGTGAAGGCTAATATTTTTTATTGCAGTATCAATGACATAAGCTTATATATAAAGGCACTATTTTGTACCTATTATGAAATGCTTATATTCTTCTGCATTTGTAGACCAACGTACAAAAAGATTTGGTTGCTTAAAGGGACAAAATCTCTCATAATGAAGATTTATGATATTTAATATTTTTGAAATCTGATTTAGTTTGCATCTAGAGAATATGGCTAAACTGATGGATGGTAAAGCCACATTTTATCCTAATTGCAAAAATGAATGGGAGTAGGGGGAGGTGTCTATACTTATTTGGAGAGATAGAGTACCCTCTTGGAGAGATCTAGGTATTACTTCGGAAGAGGTAAGTCACCATTTGATTGAGGTCGAGTGCCTCTTTATGAAATGTCAAGGACTCATTGGGATTGTTGAAAGTAGAGACGAAAGTGACTAAAAATCGACTCAGTGAAGCTGTCAAACTGTTCCTGAGTCAGATTTGCAGATTCAGCAAATTTTCTGCCTCCATGTTTGTGACTTGGAAAGAAGTTTCATCTCTCATTCAGAGAGTATCTGTCATGAGAAAAGACCTGAACTACTATTTTTTTATTCCTTCACAAGATGTGGACATCTCTGACAAGGCCAGCATTTATTGCCAATTCCAGATTAAACATGAATTGTCTTTGAGAAAGCAGAGAGGAGCCCCAATTTTGAATCATTGCAGTCTATGAGGTTTAAGCATATCCATAGTGTTGGTAGGAAGAGAGTGCCCAGATTTTGTACCTAATGACAACGTCAGGGAGTCTGAAAATGCTTTATAGCTAATGAAGTACTTTGAGTTATGTGGATATTGTTATGTTGAGCTTACAATTATGGATGTGAGAAAGATCAGACAATCTATGTTTAGTGACATTTGTTGAAGGAGAAATATGGACCAAAACACCAATACGATAACTTTATGCTCTTCCTTTAACAGTGCTGAGAAATCTTGATAGCCAATTATGATAGCAGACAGAGTCTTAGTTCAATGTCCCATGCAAAAAAAAAGTCCTTTATTCCTGCACTGGAGTATACTGCATTGGAATACAAGCTTGGAGTTACTGTTCAAATTTTTGAAGTGCGATTTGCATCTCCAACCTCCAAATAACCCATCAGCCATGAGTGAAAAAGGATTTAAATGCTTATTTATGGCTAATTGGCAAAAGTTCCATTGAATAATCTTGAATAATGTATATATTAATGTCCTCGTACAATGCAAAATTCGTTCTCAGATGCTGTTGAAGATACAGTATGGGTATAAATAGGT